ACCTAGGCTGGAGTACAGGGGTGTGATCATAGCTCATTGCAGCCTCAAACTCCTGGGTTCAAGTAATTCTCCTGTCTCAACCTCCTAAGTAGCTAGGACTACAGACGCATGCCACCATACCTGCGTAATTTTTCTTATTTTTTTGTAGAGACAGGGTCTCACTATGTTGCCCAGGCTGGTCTTGAACTCCTGGGCTCAAGTGATCCTCTCACCTTGGCCTCCCAACGTGCTGGGATTACAGGCGTGAATCACCACGCCTGGCCTGGATTTTGCTGACTGAGTACCCTTGAGGTTTCCAAACTTACTCTTCTATATCCTTTATTTCATGTAAATTGATAGACTTAGAGGAAAGGTCTGATCAGATTTAGGCTTGCTTTTTTTTTTTTTTTTTTTGTAAGAATACTTGGTAAGTGGCATTGTACCCCTTAATATTCTTAACATAAATATATCTCTTGTTAAATTGATGAGAAAAAGTAATAAAAATGTTCAATAAAAGGATTTCATACAATAGGACTTAGAAAAATATTTATTTATTTATGTATGTATGTATAGAGTAAATATTGCCTTTACAGCCAGTTGTATGGCCTGAATTATTGGGTGTAAAAATCTGTATTCATGATGACAGTGCAAATCATATGTTTGCTTGAAATCACAAGAGGACCTTGAATTTTCTGAAATTTGTATTGATACTCAGAGTTAATAGTTAACCTTAAACAGTCAGATACATGGCAAACAATGACAAAGCATTAAAACGAGGGAGTGCTCTGATTGTGGCAAGTTCGATTTTGCTTTATTTAGTAATGTTATATAATGAACACTTATGACCTTTAGTATATGACCCTTTACTTTTCTACAGAGATGTTATTTGAGAGCAATCTAGACCTTTAAATTACAATATAACCTTTCACTTTAACAAATGTAATTCAATACTATTAGGTTATCTCGTATTACTGGTAAACTGTATGTACAATTCCTTTCTCTTTTCTTTCTAGCCAGGACTAAAAGAAGTGGTAGAATCTTGTCGAGGAAAAAATCTATTTTTTTCTACCAATATTGATGATGCCATCAAAGAAGCTGATCTTGTATTTATTTCTGTAAGTATTTTCCTTTGCATGTGAATTTTAATGTATTCCTATCTATATAAAAGTTTCATTATACTTTAATAATAAGTCTTTTGGTATTAAGCTACAAAATTGCTTTGTATAAAGTTGTCCATTTGAATTTTGGTTATCCCTTTTTCCAGTGGTTCACCAAACACCGTAATCATCTGTCAAATATAACATTTCAAGTCACTGAACAAGTAAACTCAAAGAAAGTTCTAATCTGAGATCTAGAACTAGGAAATGCTAGTAACATGTGAGTACATGTGTTGATAGTATATGTATTAATTCCTTTATTATTTATATTTTAATTTTTGTAGAGGGTGGAGGGGGATGTCTTTCTCTGTTGCCCAGGCTGGAGTGCAGTGGCATGATCATAGGTCACTGCAGCATCAAACTCCTGGGCTCAAGTGATCCTTCTGCCTCAGCTTCCCAAGTAGCTAGGACTGTAGGCGTGAACCACTGTGCCTGGCTCCTAAAGTCATTTTAAATTAATTGTTTGGAACTTGGCATGTGTTGGTTAGGTTATCAGGCTAGCCCACGGAAACCTTCAACTCATAATATGGCTCAACTGTTGTACCTTTATAATGAAAAAAATTGAACCAACTCTTGGGATTAAACTCTAATTATCCAATATATGAACCAAGGCCACTTATTTCTTGCTGTATTAGTAACCATCTACTCAAATATTCCGTATGTGGTGGTATAGCTATCACCAACTGAGCCAGAGTGTTACAGGATTCAAGACCCTATGGCCTTAGGGAATAAAGAGAAAGTCAGTGGTGTGAGCTTTGACAGAGTCCCATGCGATAAAGGAAAGAAACAACAATGGGGTTTATAGAGGGTAGATGCTGTTGAATTGTTTATATATGTTGTTAATTATTATAAGTTGTTGACTAAGGAGTTGTTTTCTGATTGGCGATTCAAAACCAATGCTGCGAGGATATGTGAACTCCAAACGTGTTCATGCAAGTGGTAACAAAGCCAGTGGTAAAACTGTGTTAAGAATTCAGTCCCTCTTTTTGCCTTCTTAATCTCTTCAGAGAAACTGATGCAACTTCTGTGATTCATCTACCCATCGCCTATTTAAACTTGCAGAAAGTTAGGGTAGAAGCATAAGAAAAATGAGAAAATATTTTGGAGTAGCAAGATACTTGGAGAAAATCAGGAAGTTACCTTATTGGCTGGGCGAGGTGGCTCCCAACACTTTGGGTGGCCGAGGTGGGAGGATCACTTGACGCCAGGAGTTTGAGACTAGCCTGAACAACATAGCAAGAACCCATCTCTACAAAAAAATTTAAAAATTAGGCAGGCATGGTGGCGTACACTTACAGTCCTAGCTACTCGAGAAGCTGAGGCAGGAGGATCACTTGAGCCCAGGAATTTGAGGTTACAGTGAGCTATGATTGTGCCACTGCACTCTAGCTTGGGCAACAGAGTAAGACCTTGTCTGGAAGGAAGGAAGGAAGGAAGGAAGGAAGGAAAGAAGGAAGGAAATTATGCTATGGTACAGTGGGTTAGGAAATAAAAAATAAAAACAACTTAAGAAGTTATCTTAGGGCCAGGTGCAGTGGCTCATGCCTGTAATCCTTACACTCTGGAGGCTGAGGCGGGAGGACTGCTTGAGCTCAGGAGTTCGAGACCATCCTGAGCAAGAGTGAGACCCCGTCTCTACCAAAAATAGGAAAAATTAGCCAGGTGCGGTAGTGCACGCCTGCACTCCCAGCTACTCCAGAGGCTAGGCAGGAGGATCATTTGAGCCCGTGAGTTTGAGGTTGCAGTTAGCTATGACACTACTGAACTCTACTGCACTCTACCCAGGGCAACAGCGAGACTGTCTCAAAAAGCTTTGAGTGGTAAGATTCCCAGGTGAGCTCAAGGGATCCTCCTCGCTGAGCAGGAGGTCTGATACAAATAGCTGATTTTACACTTGCCTCTCTGCTGATCCAGCCTGAGCTGCCCTGAATCTTTCCAAGCAATTATTTTGTGTACCTGCTAGGTTAATTTATTATTGTATAATTGACAATCTACTCATTATTCTCTGGGTCATTTTTTTGTTTGCTTGTTGTATACTTTTCATCATGGAAAATATCAAATTTATTCAAAAAATTAAGACAATAATATAATGACCCCCCATTTACCCATTCTCCATCATCAACAATTATCATGACTGACTTTGTTTCATTTACTACTTCTCTCCATTCCTTCCTGCCCCAGATTATTTTTAAGCAAATTCCAGACAGGAATCATGTTGTAGGAATCAGTTTTCAGCTATTCTTTTAGAGCTCTTTGTCAGGGGAAGCTGTCTGATCATCTCCCATCTTCAGCCAGTTTCACCTTACCCCATTAGCTGTCTTTGCCCTTCTGTACTCCATTTCCCCACCTCGCCCTACATTGTTCCATGCATGTAAAGAGCTTTTTTCTCCTGCTGTTCACATCTCAACTCAGTCTTCAAGTTTTGATTTATTTTGGCTGGTTCCTTTATTTAGTCTCCCATTAGGTTATAAGCTCATCAAGAGAAGAGAATTGGTGCTACTTACTGTTAGTTAAAAAATAATTCCTATTACCATTAAGTTTTAGACTTTTCAGATCACTTTCATTTTTGTCAGAGCATTATAACACTCATGTATTAGTTTTAATGAACATGCTATCCTTATTTTCGCATGACGTCATTGAGGCAGAGGCAGCCACACTTCCCCAAGGTTATATGCTACAGCGAAGTCAAAACCTAAATACCTGGACTCTGGGCTCATGACTTTTTTTTTCCCTATTTGAAAGTATTTGTTTACATGGTATTCTGTACCCTAAAGATGCTAGGTAATGTCTAGCTTTAATTAGCTAAGAAGGCATTTGTGAATGATATACTGCAAACATTTTTAAAAGCTGTTAATATAGGGTTATAAAAAAGGGTAATAAGAGAGGAGTTTAAAGTTCATTTTTACAGATCATGATAATATATTACATATAATAGAGAAAGTTTACCTTTAATTTCAAATTCTGAAGTCCTTTAGGATGAGAACTATCTCATTCACTTATGTCTCTAGGGCTTAGCTTGGAATCCGCCTGTGCTGGTATATGGCATGTATATAGCTTCTCAACAAAAATGTATTAAATGAGTTTTTCAGATGCTTCAAGCTATTTCTTCTGGTGATTATATTTATAAAATATATTATTTCCATGGAACTAATAGAGAATTAAATAAGGGCTACTGATGATAGTTAACTTCCCACTTGACTAGTTAATTGGTAGTTCAGGGTATATCTTAAAATCACAGTCTGTGTCACAGGTACTGTGTTCTTTGTCCCATATACTTTCATCAGGTGAATACACCAACAAAAACCTATGGAATGGGGAAAGGCCGTGCAGCAGACCTGAAGTATATTGAAGCTTGTGCTAGACGCATTGTACAAAACTCAAATGGGTACAAAATTGTGACTGAGAAAAGCACGGTTCCAGTGCGGGCAGCAGAAAGTATTCGTCGCATATTTGATGCGAACACAAAACCCAACTTGAATTTACAGGTATAAAAAGATGGACGATTGGAACCTGGTTATTCTTATGTAAATAAGTTGCCAGTAATGAATTCTAGCTTAAAACTTAAAACTTTTCTTTGCATTGGGACTCCAGGTGCTGTCCAACCCTGAATTCTTGGCAGAGGGAACGGCCATCAAGGACCTAAAGAACCCAGACAGAGTTCTGATTGGAGGGGATGAAACCCCAGAAGGCCAGAGAGCTGTGCAGGCCTTGTGTGCTGTATATGAGCACTGGGTTCCCAGAGAAAAAATCCTCACCACTAACACTTGGTCTTCAGAGCTTTCCAAACTGGTTAGTACATAGCATTCAACTCTTGTTAAATTTAAAACCAAGTTTTTATTTGTCTTATAACCTGATGAGCTATATAGATATTTTCTTAATAAAAAGTTATGCTTTTGAAGATAATATTCTTGCACATTTAAATTATGAAACAGTTTTCACAAGGGGTATCAAATATCAGGGCATAAAATATTCTAGAAAATACCAAAATTTTGATAAATTGTAAGATAAGATGGAGGGTACATTAAAATAGTAATTTGTATTTTATTGCTGTTTCCCTCCTTTTACCCTTCTTCTTAATCATTTCTCTGCTCTAATTTAAAACATTTTCCCTTACCAACCCATCTATTGTCTTCTCAAATTGAGCCCATCAGTATCTTTTATATCTTTCAGTAATTTGCATCAACTCAATGAAATATAATCCAGATATGTAAAGTTGCTGTTTTAGCTCATCATATTTCCCCCTCTGCTTTTTTTTTTTTTTAAAGGCAGCAAATGCTTTTCTTGCCCAGAGAATCAGCAGCATTAACTCTATAAGTGCCCTGTGTGAAGCAACAGGAGCTGATGTAGAAGAGGTAGCAACAGCCATTGGAATGGACCAGAGAATTGGAAATAAGTTTCTAAAAGCCAGTGTTGGTAAATTAAAATTTTTCTCTACATAAAATGGGTTCATTTTTCTAGGTCTTTAACTTTAAGGAAGTCTTTTTTTAACTTAACATCCTTTGGGGGAAAAAAAAGATTGCATTATATGTGTGGTCTTCAACCTACCAGAGACTTTCTTTTTGTTTTTGTTTTTTGTTTTTCTGAGCACCAAAGGCATCCTCAGTCAATACCAGGGACTTTCTAAGCAAGGAAATAATTACTTATATTATTTAGTAATTACTGATTGATCAGTAGGATAAACAGTTTAGTGTTTTAGGAGGAAGAAATTAGTATATAGTTAGAACATTTAGAAAGAATAAGAGACCGCAAATAACTCAAGTAACAGCTTATTTTAAGCAAGTAGGAAAAAAATGTCCCTATAGTTTGTTTTTCCTACTAATGTATCTTTGGAAATGTGGCCTGGTGAAATAGTCAATCCTCACTATTTGTGGAGTCTGAATTTGTGAATTTGCCTGCTCACCAAAATTTATTTGTAACTCCCAAATCAATACCCTCAGTGCTGTCATGGTCACTCTCGGACATGCACGAAGTAGTGAAAAATTTGAGTCACCTGATGCACATCTGAGCCAGTTGAAGTCAAACAACGCAATGCTTACAGACAAGTGTCCTTTCTGTGGTCTTTTGATAGCCATGTTTTTCACATTTTTGTGCTTGGTGTTGATGATTTTGCTGCTTATAATGGTCTCCAGGTAGATTGCTGAAGTGCTGTCTAGTGATCCTAAGCACAAGAAGGCTGCCATGTGCCTTACAGAGAAAATGTGCATGTTTGATAAGCTTCGTTCAGGCATGAGTTATAGTGCTGACGGCAGTGATTTGTTGTTAAGAATCAATAGTATATATTAAATAAGGTGTCTTTAAACAGAAACACATGTAGAACAAGGTTACATATTGATCACTTGACAAAAATGTTGTGAACAGAAGCTTGCAGGAAGCCAACCCTGTATTTCACGTAAAAGCAATGCCTTGATATTAGCCAATTCAGTGTTTGTGGTGACTTTGTAGAACATAACTACTACAAATAATGAGAATGGACTGTATTTTTTGATATATAAGTTAATAAAGTTGGCATAAAGGTGAATAGAATCTTTTACAGATTGGGCGATACATAGGTAGCCCTTCCAGTACTTATGGGGCTGTATGTCATTTCCCAATGTTGGTTTTCCTGGCCTTTTATATCTTTCTTTTTAATGTTTTCTTCTAGCTATCATTTAATAAAAATAGCTACTATTTATTGAAGGCATATTATTTGTCAGGTTCTGTACCAGCACTTTTTATATCTCATTTAATCCTTATAACCTATTAGGAAGATGCTGTTATTTCCTTTTCAGAGATAATTCAGACTCAGGGAAATTTGTAAACTTGCTCAAAGTCATACAATTAATGAGTGGCCAGGTGTTTCTGACTCCAAAGCCCATACTTTGGAGCAGTGCGCAATACTGCATACTGCACCACAACAGAGCAAAATCCAGCCCACGACTTGTTTTTCTAAATGAGTTTTACTGGAACATAGCCATGCCCATTGATTACATATTGTCTATGGCTGCTTTTGAGCTACAACGGCAGAGTTGAATAGTTGCAACAGGCACAGTGTGGCCCACAAAGAATGAAATATTTACTATTCGGCCCTGTACCATAAAAGTTTTGCTGACCCTATGCTAGAGTAAGTGATGTGGGGTGGTCATACCAGATGAATGAGAAAAAATTTGAAGGTAAAAGAAAACAAAACAAAAAGTCAAATGTAGCTATAATGAAACTTTAGTTAGAAAATTATTTAGAAATTACTTAAAGAGTTGATCAGTGGCCTGTAAATTTCAAATAATTTATAGACCCACTAATTTTCCAACATCTGAATTTTATTATTAAAATATCTTGGCCAGGCATGGTGGGTCATGCCTGTAATCCTAGCACTCTGGGAGGCCAAGGCAGGAGGATTACTTGAGGCCAGGAGTTCGAGACCAGCCTGAGCAACTTAGCTGGGCATGGTGGCACAAGCCTGTAGTCCCAGCTACTTGGGAGGCTGAGGCAGGAGGATCAGGAGTTTGAGGTTACAGTGAGCTACGATGATACCACTGCACTCTAGCCTGGGCAACAGGCTAGAGTTTAGACCTTGTCTTTTTAGACCTTGTCTAAACAGAAAAAAAAGAAATCTTAGTATAGGCTCTTGGATGTAGTAATTTACTATAAAGAAATTTGTCATGTGATTCAGTTGTCTGGTTCTTACATGAAAATATTCTCTTGATTTTTTTTCTTTCCTCAGGTTTTGGTGGGAGCTGCTTCCAAAAAGACGTTCTGAATTTGGTTTATCTCTGTGAGGCTCTGAATTTGCCTGAAGTAGCTCGTTATTGGCAGCAGGTATTGATCTTTATAGTTATAATTTCTGTCTACCTTCTTATTAAACACGTCATCCTCTGTGTAATGTTTTGTTTTTGATGGAATTTATTTATTCCAGGTACTCAATCATTATTATATTCAGTTGGCTTATTTTAGGTTTAATTATTGAGTTTCTGTGTTTTTAATTCTTTCTTGCTAATCAACTGTGATGGAAGTTTCTGATAAACCAGTTTTTCTTCTAATATTATAACTAAATTTGCTTCCTGAGTAAAGTAAGAACTATTTTCCTTAATTATAATTCTCCATCTTGAAAGGCATAAAATCAAAATAAAGGAAGAACCTATATTGCTTTCAAGTGATTTGTATTTGTTGATATTTGTTTAGTTCTTTTCAGATTCACAGAGCTAAAATTAGAAACCCTTCCCAAATTGGAAGCATTGAATGAGCTCTAGGGAATAGAGTTAATGTTTATTGGATGCTTGCTTAACCTGTACCGGGTACTCTTTTGGGCACTTTGCATGTAGTGTCTCATTTAGCCCTCATCATGAACGTTACTCCCATATTTAGATGAGGGAATTGACACTTAGAGATGTTAAGTAATTTGCCCAAGGTACTAGCCAGGATATGTGCCTTTCCCAAATACATTTCCACTGAGTTTGTAATTTTTCAGATTTCAGCAATAGATATGGGAGGGAATCTAAGGAAATGAACATTTTTTAGGGAAAGCATACACTCTTAGTGTCATTTCAGTCAATCCAGCATGATGGCTTTATCTTACTGTTCATTGTGTGAAAAATACAGGTGAAGTCTTGATTTTCCAAAACTTTGGGCTTACATTCCAAGCTCTCAAGGTTTGAGATGGCCCCTAGAAGCTTAGAGCCTTTACAGAAAGTCTATTTCTTAATGCTTCCTGGTGACCAACCTAAATTTAACAAGTGAGATGATCAGAGACTCTTATAACATTTAGTTTAAAACTTTTCAAATGTTTGTGGCATTATGGTTCATCTAGAGACAGCTATAAGTCTGCATGTTGACTGTTCCCTGTCCACTTTTTACTCAAACTGAATTTTGGTGAATGTTGGGGTATAAGCATGTGAAGGAGTACTTTGGGGTTTGCTTACAGCCTTGCTTCCGTAGGGTTGGAAAAGTAGGCTGAGGAGAATACTGTTTGCGATGTGGCTTACTTAGGCTGGTCTCAGAGCTGGACCGCAAATGCTCTCAAGAGTTAACACTTAGGCCGGGCGCGGTGGCTCACACCTAGAATGCTAGCACTCTGGGAGGCGGAGGCAGGTGGATCGCTCAAGGTCAGGAGTTCGAGACCAGCCTGAGCAAGAGCGAGACCCCGTCTCTACTAAAAATAGAAAGAAATGATCTGGACAACTAAAAATATATATATAGAAAAAATTAGCCAGGCATGGTGGCACATGCCTGTAGTCCCAGCTACTTGGGAGGCTGAGGCTGGAGTATCAGGAGTTTGAGGTTACTGTGAGCTAGTCTGACGCCACGGCACTCTAGCCTGGGCAACAGAGTGAGGCTCTGTCTCAAAAAAAAAAAAATAATAAATAATAATAATAATAATAAAAATAAGAGTTAACACTTAGTTGTTCTCCCCATTTTTGCATCCATCCCAGCCTGATACGTGGAAAATCAATCCAAATGAAATTGAAAATTTTCAGGATGGCTTTAAAGAAGGGGATAGGTGATTCTTTTATTTTTAAATCTGAGGACACTAGAGTTTGGTTAATCTTTGCCTCCTGTTGATGTGTAAGCCTTGTATTCATACAATAGCAATCACCATAAAACTCTGAGTAATGTATGCTATAGGTTGCACCTCTTTTAAACAGTCTTGCACAATGGTATGTGTAATTTCAGGTCATAGACATGAATGACTACCAGAGGAGGAGGTTTGCTTCCCGAATCATAGACAGTCTGTTTAATACAGTGACTGATAAGAAGATAGCTATTTTGGGATTTGCATTCAAAAAGGACACTGGTGATACGAGGTATCAATTCTTGAAAATATTTTGCCCCTTTGAGAGTGTGTCAACTCTTCATCTTATCCTGGTTTTTTGATTGGTGGACGTATGTACAAAATTGTGTGTGTGTGTGTGTGTGTGTGTGTGTGTGTGTATGTATATATATATATTAAAGAATAAAAACAAACATCCATATCTTTACTACTCAGCCAGCTTAGGAAATAGAATCTTACCTGTATCTTAAACTCCCTGATATTAGAATATAATGCCATTTAAAGCTTAGCAATACTGATTTTTTTTTCCTTCAGAGAATCCTCTAGTATATATATTAGCAAGTATTTGATGGATGAAGGTGCACACCTCCATATATATGATCCAAAAGTACCCAGGGAACAAATAGTCGTGGATCTTTCTCATCCAGGTGTTTCAGAGGATGACCAAGGTAAGGCTTTGAGTCTCACTTTGAAAATAGACCCCAAAACTAGAAACCTTTAGTTGTTCAGTTTTATCATTTATATCATTGACAACCTCATTTCTCTAAAATTACATTAAAATTAGGTGTTATGTCATCAACTTTGATTTGAAGTGATCAGCTGTGAGTTAGTCCAGTGATTTTTCCAACATATTCCACAAAGCCCCAGAGGTTCCAAAAAGATGCCTTTGCGGCAAGGTTTGGGGTTGCTTCAGGTCCCCTGTCATCACCCCCATTCATATTTCAGTCAGACTGTTCCACCTCTGTCAGATGCCCAACTCCTCTTGCAGCCCTAGTAATGTTAAAATACACACGGTACTCCCCCTTATCTGTGGTTTCACTCTCTGCAGTTTCAGTCACCCAAGGCCAACCTCGGTGTGAAAATATTAAATGAAAAATTACAGAAATAAACAATTCATAAGCTGTAAATCGTGTGCTATCCTGAGTAGTGTGATGCGGTCTCTCTCTGTCCTGCTCCATCCTGCTAGAGACATGAATCGTCCCTTTGTCCAGCATGTCCACACCGTGCGTGCACAGCCTGTTAGTCAGTCAGTAGCCGTTTTGGTTATCCTATCCAAAACACATGATAAACATGCCCAGGGCTCAGCACTCCCCGTGTTTTAGACATCCACTGGAGGTCTGGGATTTACCCCCGTGGGTAAGGGGGCTGCTGTGATTTCAAATAACTCCTTTTTTGTTTCCGTTTTGTTGCTGCCGCTGCTGCTGTCATGTAGTGTCCCGACTTGTGACCATTTCCAAGGATCCATATGAAGCGTGTGATGGTGCCCATGCTGTTGTTATTTGCACTGAGTGGGACATGTTTAAGGTGAGATGACTGAAATGATATTAAGGAAAATTCTAGAGGTGTTCTAGTGTCAGTTGGGGTTGAGTATGGGTTCATGTATATGCTCTAATTGTTCCTTTGGTATGTCTTTACAGGAATTGGATTATGAACGCATTCATAAAAAAATGCTGAAGCCAGCCTTTATCTTTGACGGACGGCGTGTGCTGGATGGGCTCCACAGTGAGCTGCAAACCATTGGCTTCCAGGTAACCATGATCCTGCACTGGTTTTTCGTTTGGTCATTTGCTTTTTAAACCCATTGCGTGGGTTTTAGAATTTTCGTATTTGCTCATTTAGCAATAACATAACTCTGAAGCAACATGTCAATTCTGTGGGAAGTTTCCATGGGATTTTTGTAGCTATTCTACTCCCTGTCTAAATTTGTGACCTTGTCATTAAGTGTTGGTTTCCCTTACATAGTAGGTAGGTCATCAGTTGCCTATCACATAGGGACAGAATGTGCCCTGCTTTATCTCTTATTATAAAAATCAAGTAAGAAAATACATTAATGTGTTTTGAAAATGCAATATAGTTGTATGTTGGTATTATTGTTATTGTTTATTATTATTTCCAGTTCACCCAATTCCCTTGTTGTCTTCTCTTACCCAAGGAGGACTTGGGCCAGGGGTGGGGTATGATTGAGGTGGTGATTGAGGAAGTGCTCTGCCTTGGGAAGAGCATCATCAAACCCATATGGGAGTAGCTACCATCCACACCACAGGTACCCAGAGAAAGGGGTCTCAGTGAGCCAGCATGTGTTCCTCCGATACCTGCTGAGTACTCAGCACTGCTCCAGTGCTGTGAGAGGTCTGAATGAAGCGTATGGGCGTTTTAGTGGTACTGGCTCTCTTCTAATTCAAAGTGTGTCAATTACGGAACATTTGGAAAGCTGACAGAAGCCTCCGCCCAAAACAGTGTATTTGTATGTTACATCTATTTTGATTCTACTAAGGGACCCAGAAGTATTAGCAAGAAGGAACTACTTTTCATTTCCTCAGAGCAGTGTGAATAAGTGGATGGGAGGCTGGGAGACAGGGCGAGTCAGGGAGGATAGAGAAATATGCCCGGGGGCTGCTGTCAGCATAGTGTCCGAGCAGGGCGGAGGCAGTGTGTGATGCTTGCTCCGTGCCTCCCTCGGCACCAGCTGCCCTGCAGACACGCCAGCGAGGCTTCGTCTGCTGTTCAGAACTATCTGATCTGGTTCGTAATTTCTCACCAGCTTGCTGAGGCTCCTTCTTGTTTAGAATTCAGTGCCCGTTTCACATTCATGAGAGATTTGCTTTCAGCAAAAATCAGAGGGCACCCTTGTCTACTACCTCTCCCATCAGGGACCTAGGGGACTTTTCTATCCTACCCCTCCTCAGTGAGTAACAACGTGACAGTTTTCCCAGTCATGACCTAAACTCAGGAATGTTATTTTTAAAAAGTTATTTATAAGCCATAGACACATTTTCTCTCATTCCTGTTTTACTCATCTAAGGGAAAAAAAGATGTAGGGAGATACATATTTAAAATGATTTTGAGCTCTTATAAAAGTTAACTTTCCCCAATAAAGATTAAAAAAAAATTAAGAGTGGAATGACTAAACAATTTCTAAGTCACTCAGACAACTGATTAAAGCAGAAGGCCCTTTTTTGTGGTATGAGTCAGAATTAAATATTAGTTTTCAATTCAAAAGACATGAAAATTCAGTAGTGAATTTTCTGTGGAGGGGAGATAAACATGACTATTAAAGAAGTATCTTTAAAGATAAGACTGATAATTTTGAATATATGGAATATATAGAAAATGCGATACGCAAAATAAAAATTGACTATCATTTCTTGAAGGCTGACTTGGTGTATGCTAAGCACTCTATCCAATTTAATCTTTATCACAACCCTTGGAGGTAGGTGGTAGCAACGGGACGTACAGTGAAGAAGGAAGACCCAGAGAGTCAGGTAACATAGCAAGTGTCAGTCAGGATTCCAAGCAGGGCCTTTCAGGCTCTGAAGTCTGAACTTGTAAGAACTATGCTATTACAGCTTTTGCAAGTTTTTTAGTATATGGGAAATGGAAATGAGAATAGAGTATGAGAGAGAATATGAACTAACTGGAATCTGATCTGTTAATTGTTTTCATACATGTTTCTAAAACCAGTAGTGGCATATGATTCATTACTGTGATGTTTGGGGGAGTCTTGTGTGGGGAATGGCAGGAGTGAGAATGTCTAAATGTGAATACGAACAGTGGAGTGTAGACTGCCTCTAGAAACACAAAAATAGGGAGGGAACCAGAGATCTCGTATAGCAACCCAGACAACTTGAGAAACTTTTTCTGCTTTTAACAAGAAAAATAATCTAGGTTTTCCCCTTTATTTCACTGCATTATAGAGTTCTTAAATTTATGTATTATAATTATTAATAGTTCTCTTTTTAAAATCTTTTTTCCTTCAGATTGAAACAATTGGCAAAAAGGTGTCTTCAAAGAGAATTCCATATGCTCCTTCAGGTGAAATTCCAAAATTTAGTCTTCAGGATCCACCTAATAAGAAACCTAAAGTATAGATATTACCATTTTTGTTTGTGATTTTTTTGGTACTTTAGGATAAGAAATATCTATCTGATACTAAATGGTAAATGAACCAAGTGTTTTTAAGGAAACAAAATTATTTTTTTAATCGAATTTATACTCGCTATATGGCTAATTAGCATATCTGGTAATTATGAATCTAGAATATTTTTTACATATTTTTATAATATTGTGAGCTCGGTATTGGATGAGTGGAAAATAATCATGTTGGTTTTAATGGTGTCGATTTTTGTAAAATAAAAATTAAACTTCAAACACCTTTTACTTTATGAATTGTCCATACGCAGCACTTTAATATCACATTGTGAAGGGAAAGACACTCTTCAGTTTTCCTGGTCATTGGTTTGTTTGTCATTAAATATGTATTTTGAAGCCATGAAATTACTAAATAGCCTTTATAAGTATGGTTGGTTAAAGTTCCGTGTTCCTTTTTTTTTAATGAGATGTGTCATTGATTTTTTTAGCTCACTCCAAATATAGTTAAAAGGTTTTTTTTCTTTGACATGAAAAGAAAATCAATAGTATTGTCTATTTCTCTCCCCTTTATTTCTTAGTTTTCCTCACTGATCATTATTTTTATAGTCCAAGAGCCAACAATATTTGTTTCCTTGATTTGGCATTTTTATTTCTATTCCTTATTGTAATTTCTCCTTTTTTCTTTAAATAAGAAAGCCAATATATCTCATATATGAACTAAAAGAAGCAGATTTTACAAATTACATATAGCATTACTCTAAGAATTTTTGTGTATATATCCATTTGCTTTTTTCTTATGTCTCTCGTTGACTTTTATATTTGCAGTAGTTGTTTTGCTTTTGTTTGATCATTATTGAAATATGTCACATGTCCATTTGATGCTTGTGTTCTGCTGAGAGTACACAAACTATGTTAAACAGATACACGTCTCATCCTATGGGAATTTTGCAGTTCAATAAAAAGGAGGAGGCAATATATAAAGATGAGGATAGATAAATCTGTACAGATAACAAATACGTTAATAAAATATTCCACATCAACAACTCTGTGGGTGTAATTTTTATCGTGGTGCAAGTAATTATTGAGTCATAACAGTCTGACATTAGGTGGGAAAAAATGATTCCTCACTTTTTAGAGAAAAGAGTATTACATCATTCTTCTAAATGATGCAAGAAAGGGAAGGAATTTTAGCTAAAAACCCTTAGCATTGGCAAACTGTAGCCCATGGGCCAAATCTATCCAGCCATGCATGAGCTAAGAATGGTTTTTACATTATTGTGTGATTGTATTTTAAATGGTTATGTAAGTCCCTCCATACTATTCTCAATTTTACTTTTTGGCCTGCAAAGCCTAAAATATTTGCTATCTAGCCCTTTAAGAAAAAGTTAAAAGACACAAAAACCAGACAGAGTTTGAACATAAAATGAGCCCTTACTCATAAGACTTTGAAGCAAGGATGAGCTTATTAATTAGAATTTGCTTTACATTACTGCTCGAAATATTCTTGTACTCTGCTTAATAATTTTATATTCTAGTAAAAGGATTATAAAGCCAAAGATGTCTTGCTAAAGTGGATAGAATTAGACACTTGTTTTAAATTGGAGGATGCTTCACTGCCTAGAATTGATAAGTAATTATGTATAAAATATAGTTACTGATTAAAAGGTAGAATTGGTAAGTAGAGGAAAATGGGCAAAAGAGGCCTCAGAGCTGTGTAAACTTGCTGTTTGTAATGGGGACTGGCACTCTAGAAAAAAAATTTTTCCTTGGGGCCACGGTGCTTTTTTACAAAAATAGAATAAAAACTTTGAAAACAAAACAATCCTTTCTAATTTAACGAAAAATTTATTTTTTGTTTTCTGTGCATAAGTTATATGCAACTTGAAAAATAGTTCTTGGAGCTCCCAAGGTGAAGAGATTTCTGAGTTACATATACTTCAAGAGGTCCCAGGCTCAAAACTAGTGTGAGTTAAATATAACTAACATGGCAGTTAACGTGTTAATACTGAACACTTCAGGCAGGCACCACACAAAGCATTCTCTTTAGGCACATTCTTTTTTTTTATTTCAGAATATTAGGAGGGTACAAATGTTTTGGTTACATAAGCTGCTTTGTACAGTTTGAGTCAAAGTTGTAAGTGCGTCCATCACCCGGATAGTGTGCATTGTACCTGTTAGGAGTGAATTTACCCCTCCCTCCTCCCCGCTCCTGCTTGAATTCCATTCAGTTTTACTACCATATGTGCACGTGAGTGTTGATCAGTTAGTTCCAATTTAATAGTGAGCACATGCGGTGTTTTTCCATTCTTGTGATACTTCACTTAGAAGGATGGTCTCCAGTTCTATCTAGGATGTTACAAAAGGTATTAGTTCACCATTTTTTTTTTATGGATGAGTAATACTCCCTGGTATACATACATCACATTTTATTAATCCACTCATGTATTGATGGGCACTTGGGCTGTTTCCACATCTTTGCGATTGTGAATTGTGCTGCTATAAACATTCGAGTCCAAGTATCTTTTATAAAATGTCTCGAGTGATCCTCCCACCTCATCCTCCTCAGTAGCTAGGACTACCACACATCCCACACGTGGCTAATTTTTTTATGTTTTGTAGAGATGGGGGTCTCACTATGTTACTTACGTTGGTCCAAAACTCCTGGTCTCAAGCGATCCTCCTGCCTTGACCTCCCTAAATGCTGGGACTACAGGCCTGAGCCATTGTGCCCAGTCCACTTTCGTTTTTTTAAAAAATGCCATTTGTGCTGCAGAAAAAGGTCACACACAATGAAATGTCATGCGCCAAATTTTAATACATTGGAAACCACTAATGCATTAACTTGTGCTGTCAGATTTTTACACAGACTTCCTGCCATGTCTATGCATTTAAACGTACTTCTTATAAATGCATCATTGTTTAGGAAGGTCAAAAGCTTTGCCATGGCCTTTAAAAATTCAAATCTGTCCATTCTTGTGTAAGGGAGTACACCTATACAGCATATGTCCACCACACGCTAATGTCCAGCAAGACCCAGGCATTTCTTCACACACATCCCAGTCATGGTATAATGGTTAGTTATGTAATAATGAGCAAATGAATAACAAATGAAGACATTCTTTGTGATTCCATTCTGAAACAAACATTTCTGGCCACTTTTAATTTCTGGATTTAGTTTAATTTGAAAGTATCCTAAGATTGCAGGATAAAGTATTTTAAAACTTTTTTTTGGGCTGGGCACAGTGGCTCACTTCTGTAATCCCAGCACTTTGGGAGGCTGAGATGGGAGGATTGCTTGAGGCCAGGAGTTTGAGACCAGCCTGGGTGACAGAGTGAGAGCCCATCTCTTAAAAAAAACAAAGCCAGGTCTAGTGGTGCACACCTGTAGTCCCAGCTACTCAGGAAGCTAAGGCAGGAGAATCCCTTAAGCCCAGGAGTTTGAGGTTGCAGTGAGTTGTGACACCACTGCACTACAGCCTGGGAAACAGAGTGAGACCCTGTCTCAAAAAAATAATAAAAGCCAAAATATTTTTTATTATTTAGCTGTATCACTCAGGATTTTTCAATACTGTGGCACCAAAACAAAGGAATTAAGTAGACTATTAAGGCTGACAGAAGACTATAACTGTCCCTCCCAATTTCACGTGTGTATTGAAACAGCTTCATTTCATCATTCTCTATTTTTATATACAGAATAAATAAAAGTTGCAAATCTGAAACTTTAATATACATTTGTGCTAATGAAATGCCATTTAATTATTTTATGTTGGGGTTCCATAAAAGTTTCATTTGACCAAATGATTCTTCTGCTAAAAATGTTTCATCACCATTGGCCTACATGTGCAAAAGGCCCAACTATTAGGAAACATCCAGATTACGTCACAAAATCAGTTTGAAAAGTAATCCATTTTTTCCTGTGAAATAAGTTTTTAAGGTGGGTGGTAGTTTGAGATGTTTAAATTTAAAGTTGAGCTGGGCAGAGTGGCTCATGCCCGTAATCCCAGAACTTTGGGAGGCTGAGGTGGGAGGATCACTTGAGGCCAAAGTTGCAGTGAGCTATGATCAGCGCCACTGTACTCCGGCCTGGATGACAGAGCAAGAAACCCTGTCTCTTAACAACAAAAAAATAACCAGAATTAGTTATCCACGTTACATATTTTACAGTATGACCATCTAAAATCTCCTTTGTGAGATGCAGAAAAAGTAAGTATTAAGACAGGATTCAAGGCCAGGCATGGTAGCCTGTAATCCTAGCACTCTGGGAGGCCAAGGCAGGAGGATCACTTGAGGTCAGGAATTCGAGACTTGCCTCAGCAAGAGCGAGACCCCGTCTCTACTAAAAATAAAAAAAATAAGCTGGGTGTCGGCATGCCTGTAGTTCCAGCTACTCGGGAGGCTGAGGCAGGAGGATCGCTTGAGCCCAGGAGTCTGAGGTTGCTGTGAGCTAGGCTGATGCCACGGCACTCTAGCCCGGGCAACAGAGTGAGACTCTGTCTCAAAAAAAAAAAAAAAAAAGAGGATTCAGAGTCAAAGATGAATTTGAATGTTACATTTTAGAAAGAAATTTTTTCACGTCACTGTTATATAATACAACCATCTCAACAGAGTAATGTGAGAAATAAAAGGAATAAAAACAGGATAGTACATGTGGATTTAGCAAGCTACTATACAAATGAAGGTTAATATTTCTTTTTTTTTTTTTTGAGAGAGAGTCTCCCTCTGTTGCCCCAGCTAGAGTGCAGTGGCGTCAGCTCACAGCAACCTCGAACTCCTGAGCTCAAACGATCCGCCCGCCTCAGCCTCCCAGAGTGCTAGGATTATAGGCGTGAGCCACTGCGCCCGCCGAAGGTTAATATTTCTTAGGTTTTATTTCCATGCCTTGGGCGAAATCACGGTCTTGGTTTCTTTTCTTTCTTTTTTTTTTTTGACAGAAGGTCTCTCACTTTGTCACCCAGGCTGGAGAGCAGTGGTTCGATTATAGCTCACAGCAACCTCAAACTTATGGGCTCAAGGGATCCTCCGACCTCAGCCCTCTCAGTAGTTAGGACTACAGGCATGAGCCACCAACCATGCCTGGCTAATTTTTTAATTTTTTTGTAGAGAGAGTCTTGCTATCTTGCCCAGGCTGGCCTAGAACTCCTAGTCTCAAGCAATCCTCCTGCCTCACCCACCCAAAGTGCTGGGATTGCAGGCGTGCGCCACCGTGCCCGGCCATGGTCTGTTTCATAGAGGCATTAAATGTAATCAGTGTGAAACTGTTTTGCAGGGTCTGAAGTAGCAACACCAATGTAAAGAATCAACATTCAAATCCTTAAGTCTTTCTAAGTTGTTCCCACGATATTATACTATTATGCAAAGGACGTATCCTAGTGTCAACCTATGCTGACTATTTCATCACAGTAACAAATAAAATTTTGCTTTTTTTCATTTTTCATAAATGAAATGTGACGATGAGCAGTTAACAGTGGCTTGAAAAATCTTCTGGAAGTTTTTAATGTATTTTTAAATTATAATGTTCACAGCAAACTCTCACAAAGATGTTTTATGATTATATCATAGCAAGCAACTGTTTATTGGGACAAAGATATGCTAAAAGCCAAGGGAATTACTATAAATAAATACATACAGATTATTAACATTTGTCTTAAAGCAAAAAGAGTTGCGGTACATCCACTGACGTCTGGGCGTTCTGGCACCGCCTCTGATACCAATGGGAATCAAATGTCAAAATTTCTGTGATCTTGAAGGTCTTGGCTAAGTTTTAGAGGGCTTTTGTTTTTCTTTTAGCCACTAGATTTTTCAGGAAAAATTCACCTATTTAGGAAAAATGAAAACATGTTAACATCGATATAAGGCAAATAATAAGACTATTATCTCAGAATTATATTTGAGTGTTTCCTCTTTAAAGAAGACTTCTATATTTATTGGCATTTCTCTCTCCTCAAATCTCAATGGCAATATTTTATTTTTTCTATCCTAAATATTCCCAATATCTTTGGCCCTTTTCCCCAAGAATGATTAGTCATTGTTTTTTTTTTAAATTTTTTATCACTAGCCACTACTATTACTCTTTCTAGTAACCCAATATTGCTTTTTTTTTACTGTAACTTTTTTATTTTTTATATATATATATTTTTAATTACTACATATAATAGGGATACAAATGCTTAGGTTACATATATTGCCTTTGCCCCACTAGTAACCCAATATTGTAGAGGGTGACCCCATTGTATCCGTGGGTCTGTTGCTGTACATTTATTCCACTTTATGGAATGTCTACTCCTCATTACTGCCAAAGTATTGCTGTTGGCAAAATTCGTTTCAGAGAGCAATTTTGCTACATTATTAGCCTGGATCTGATGTTTCCCAAACAGACTTTGTTTCAGTTGAGCAGACTCATCTGATGGAGTCTCTTTAGCTTATTTCCCTCTAGGGAAGCAAGAGCTCTTCATTTGTAATGGGCTTTTCCCCCACCCTGAGTTGTTCCTGCGCAACAAGTCAGCTGCTTAGAGGGGCACATTAACTTTTCGGGCCATTAGGGTTCCATTTAGTCTATCACTGTTACAGCAAGGCTCAGTGCTCAGCACTGGAGGCCTGATTTTCTGAGGAGTCTGATTAACTTCTCTCTGTCATCTTACATATATGAGTAGAACTGTGATGACCATATCTGTACACAAACACCAAGATTCCCAAAGCTCATAATCCAGCCAAATAATCTGTGCTGCTCTATGCCTCATCTAAATCTGGTAGGAGTAAAACCAACATCACAACCCTAATGCATCACTTGAGTCTAATGCCCACATACCAGAATTTGATCTTTTACAGGTAATTTAAAAAGCATTAAAAAGTTCATAATTCACTTCCTTATAAATGTTAGAACTTTTCCTTAAAAATAAAAAAGCCCAAAAACTCCTTTCAAAAGATATTACTCTACCCACTGTAAAAGCTGATATTGGTTCTATCCTTTATATGTATTTAGCTTGCCAGCAGTACTGCTTAAAGACTAAATCACTTACAATTATTCCTTTTCAAAGTCCCCACATCCTATCAGTCAGCATTGAATCAAATTCTTGGGTTTTAAGATTAGCTTAAGCTGTTAGTTCATTAAAATGTCTTAAATTTCTTTTTAGGAACACACTGAATATTACTAATACTTGAACATTAATTTTTCAAATAGAATTTAATAATTTGTGTAATAATTTAAACATATCTGTGATTTAGACCCCAATATACAAAGCAATCACTTGAAAAAAATTAATAGTTATAACATATTTTAGACATATCCAAAAATACCTAGTTGTATTAATTAATTAATTTTAGAGACTGGGTCTTGCTATGTTGCCCAGGCCGTACTGAAACTCGTGGGCTCAAGTGATCCTCCTGCCTCAGCCTCTTGAGTAGCTGCACCCCACCATGCTCAGCCTAGATGTTTATTCTTAACAATTATTAATTGTTAAGTCCAAGTGACAGGAGAACATCATCAACATTTTTTAGATTAAATTCACTGTTCAGATATGTTCTCATGGATCTTCAGATGGTCATTATCACATGACTTTTTGTCCCCTGGAAAACACTTTTGTTTTCATAAATCAGCTCAAGCTACTGATCAAAATAAAAGCTGAAATTCAAAAGGTGAAAAATTGCATCGCAGCTAGTAAAACCACTAAAAATTTCTATAGGGAAAAATAATTTTATGGATTTTCTGTTGCCTCTGGGGGAAAAAAATAGAAAGGAATTAACAACGCAAGCAGCAATGCTATTAAACAGATACTTTTCAGTGCTTAAATTGATCTGAAATCGGGAGTCTGGAGATGCAGCTGGCATCAATTTCAAATGAGTGTGTATTTTGCAGAAAACTATTATATGCTTAACAGGCTTTGTCACTTCTGAATAACCTGCTACTGAAATCCACACATGGAATAAACTAATCAACCAATTGTTTCTGCTTTCATCACAGTAGCTGAGTTGTAAAGAGGGGGTTTGTTTAAAGAACAAACTAGGTTTAATAAGAAACTTCTCCTTGATATGACCCTTATGGAGTAAAGCTTCTAAGGATGTTCCAGAACCCTGCCCCTCCAACCCCCTGAAAAACAACCATAGCTATCAGACGTTGTCCTAGGGCTTTGGTGATCGGGAGTAGAACCTAATGCGGAAAATTAATGGCCTAAATAAAACTATTCCCCATAATCTAACTTACCCGCTTTATATGAAGAACGGACCAAAGGGCCACTTGCAGTGTAATGGAATCCAAGTTCATTTCCTACTTTCTCCCAGTATTTGAACTTTTCAGGAGTAATATACTCTTCAACCTAGATTTAAATAATTACTTCTGATCAGATTCTAGAATTCTCCTAAATAATTCTGATTCCACAGAAAGTCTGTACCCATGTATTCAGAATGGTTTTCACTTCATAATGCATCCAGGGCCCCTCCCACCTCCCCAGGCTTTCCTGCTCTCCCTCCTCGTTTGTGTCCACTGGTCACTCACTGGCCATGGTATCAGAATGTGATCACAGGGGATTAGAGAGGTGGGGAAACATAAATTTTATACTGCATTACCTATTACAAAGGACTGAGAAAGGAGTTCCTACAGAGATTATTTATCTTTATTTTTCCTTCATTAACAGGTACAATCAAGAATGAGTCACGCCCGTTAGATTCTTGAGGACAAGACTGTCTTACTCGTATGTTCTGCTTAGCACTGGGACTGGCACATGGTCACTGCCTAACCCAAGTTTCTTGAGTGAGTGGATAAACATTCATTATAAAAACAGACTGACTTTCATTCTTACTTCACCTGTGGCTCTCACATAACTAAAACAAGTCACATGATCACCAAGCGTAAATGAGGGCAATTTTCCAACTTTTTATTCTTTTTCTGTAGGTTCATTCGAGTTGTACAGTTTGCGGGGCAGCAAATATGTGCCAATGTAGTTGCTTTATGTAGATGATAAAACGGAAACTGGGACTTACAAGTATACAGTTGACCCTTGAACAGCACAGGTTTGAACTGCGAGTGTCCGCTTGTACGTGGATTTCCTGCTGCCTCCGCCACCCCTTAGACAGAAAGACCAACGCCTCCTTTCCCTCCTGCCCCTCAGCCTACTCAACATGAAGGCAATGAGGACGAGGAACTTTATGATGATCCACTTCCACTTAATGAATAGTGAATATATTGTCTCTTCCTTATGATTTTCTTAATAACATTTTCTTTTCTCTTACTTTATTGTAACGATACAGTATACATATAACACATATAACATACAAAATGGGTGTTAATCAACTGTTTATGTTATTGGTAAGGCTTCTGGAGTCTACAGTAGGCTATTAGTAGTTAAGTTTTGGGGAAGTCAAAGGTTATACACGGATATTTTTTTTTCCTTGAGACAGGGTCTCGCTCTGTCACCAGGGCTAAGGCTAGAGTGCCGTGGCGTCATCATAGCTCACAGCAACCTCAGACTCCTGGGCTGAAGCAATTCTCCCACCTCAACCTCCCCAGTAGCTGGGACTATAGGCATGCGCCACCATGCCTGGCTAATTTTTCTATTTTTAGTAGAGACGGGGTCTCGCTCTTGCTCAGGCTGGTCTTGAACTCCTGAGCTCAAGCAATCCTCCCACCTCAGCTTCCCAGAGTGCTGGGATTACGGGCATGAGCCACTGCACCCGGCCATACATGGAATTTTGACTGTGCAGGTTGGTCCCCCTAACCCTCGTGTTGTTCAAGGGTCAACTGTACATGGAACATCACACTAAAAAGCCAGGAGTTTCTTAATCTTACCTATGAACATGAAGATTTAATTCAAATTACTGAGAAATGTTTGGCAATTCGAGTCATGTGTACCTTAAGGTGGCGCTTTGTCGGCTGCATATATTGTCCTAAAGTCAAACAGTCCACGTCTGCCTCACGAAGTGCTGTAGGAAAAAAAGCACGAATTACGTTAGCAGATGTTTTTATAATGTTAAAAAGTGTAGATCTAAGCATAATTTTCCTGAGGAACATTTCAGAACAGTGTGAACTTTATACTAGTCTATAATCCTCACACTGGGGAATAAGACAATACCTATTCATTCAAAATTACTTATGTGGGCCGGGCGCGGTGGCTCACGCCTGTAATCCTAGCTCTCTGGGAGGCCGAGGTGGGCGGATTGTTTGAGCTCAGGAGTTCGAAACCAGCCTGAGCAAGAGCGAGACCCCGTCTCTACTAAAAATACAAAGAACTTAATTGGACAACTAAAAATATATAGAAAAAACTAGCCGGGCATGGTGGCGCGTGCCTGTGGTCCCAGCTACTTGGGAGGCTGAGGCAGAGGATCGCTTGAGCCCAGGAGTTTGAGGTTGCTGTGAGCTAGGCTGACACCACAGCACTCTAGCCCGGGCAACACAGTGAGACTCTGTCTCAAAAAAAAAATATGTGCCAGGGACTATGGTAAGGATTGAAAACAGGAATGATCAAGATAGTCATGTGGGCCTGATGGATATAAGGATAAATACCTCTAATACTACAGAATAAATGTTAAAATAAGAGTGGAGAGTGTTTTAGAGCAGGAGTCTGTAAGGCAGAAAAGGTGAAGGTAACAGTACCTGTAAAAGCCTGAAAACTCCTGTATTATAGACTAAACATGCTGTATTAGGCTTTTGCTTCACGTATAATACAAGATATCCTCTGGGGGATGGGATTTGACCTATGACATCAGAATCTTTCTAATAACAAACTGAATGCAATGTGGTAAACAGCAGCTTTTAATTACTATTTGAACTTACTACTCTTTGAACCACAAAATAACTGCAAATAGTTCAAGGACCCTTGGGTAAAACAAAAACTTTTAAATTTCAAAGTTTAAAAAGCTGGGCACAGTGGCTCATGTCTGTAATCCCAACACTTTGGAAGGCTAAGGTGGGAGGACTGCTAAAGGCCAGGAGTTCAAGACCAGCCTAAGCAACACAGGGACACACTGTCTCTACAAAAAAAACAAAAAAAAAGAAAAAGAAAAATTAGCTGGGTACTCAGGAGGCTGAGGCAGGAGGATTGCTATAGCCCAGAAGTCTGAGGTTGCTGTGAGCTATGATGATGCCGCTGCACTCTAGTCTGGGCAACAGAGTGAGACCCAGTCTCAAAAAATTAAATAAAATGCCCAAGAATCACAACACAAATGGACTTATGGGACTAAGGTTCAGCAAAGTCCAAAGCACGCCATGTTCTGTGACAGTGCTATAGGCAAGCTCTTCTCAATCGAAACCCTGGATTGCTCTTATTCATCTATGAATTGTCAGTGCCTGGTACCTTGCTGGCTCTCAAAAACTGTGCAATTGCAGAATGAGAAAGGGGGATGAAATCATGTTTTCACTGAATGAAAGGGTAGGGAATAAAATGAGATACAAATTTCGTATCCTGAGCTTCATGTATACCCTTTCATGAAAGTCTGAGAAAACACACCTCCCTTCCTTTTTATGGCTGCTGTTTGCAACCATATGCTTTGTTCTTACTGGCACTTGCACTGAGACTACGGAAGAAGCATAAATTTAACAGGGCCTTCGAAGTGGGTGGGGTTCCTGCTATTACTCAAAATAAAGGGGAAAGATGTTTGATTTTCAATATCTTTACCTTTCATTGTTGCATATACTTGCTCATCATTCTCACCTAAACCCAACATTATAGATGTTTTAGAGATAACATCAGGCTGAACCTCCTTGGCATGTTTCAGTACACGTAGAGACTGGTCGAAATTGGCCCGGGGATCACGAACTTTCCTGGAAAACAGCAAGGCTGTTGTTGGCAAGAATAAACACGAATTCAACCAAATACACAGTTATGCAAGTAACCTGAAAGACCAGAGAAGTATACTCTGTACATTCTATTACATCATGTGGTTTGATGGTAGCATTTGCACACAAATGCCTGTTATTGTATTAAAGAAAGTAAGACCTCACTGGGCTCCCTAGCTCTGTTTACTTTTAAGCCCTCTTAAACGTGGAGCAGAGACAAATAGAATGGAAAAAATCACTTCATTTTATGCATTGAGAAACCAGAATTCTGAGGCTAAAAATTAATGATGGAAGTAAGACAATCTCAGTACCGAACAAAGAAAAAACTAACCTGAACCCACATTTCAGAGGGCTGAAACTTTTATGTTCATTCCTTTTCTAAAGACTAAGCTGCCCTCTGCTGGTGAGTATACAACACTGCCATCTCTTAGGTAAAGAAATGCATGATTCTGGAATTTTCACTGGAAAGAATAATGTTTCTTAAGTCAAACCAGGGAAATTGGCACCCACTGGTGGTGGTATCGTGACAGGGTTGGAAAGGATGTGTGCTAGAGCTCAGCAATGCCCAAACCACCATGGCTTAAATGATGAGAAAGCCAACAGACCAGGAAGTTGCTCATGTTAAACCAGCATTCATTTGAATTCTAATGCAGCTTTATTTTCTGTAATTGATTTTTTTTGTTTTACCAGAGACTAGTTCACAGGGAAGAGAAGAAACAAATTTATGAATTTAAAAACAACCACAAAACTGACAATGTAGAAAGTAATTACCTTTTAAAAAATTTCTCCACTGAAATTAAGTTATGCTCCCTAATGTTTAGAAGAAATGCTGGTCATCGTTTACTATAACTTCTTTCAGGTTCTATGACACAGAATAATGTGTAGAAGCTAATCAAATCACTGACAAATACTTTACTAAAATTAAAGGAAATATTAAGCTTACCTAAAGTTTAAATCCTAACTACTAAAATTATAGGAAGAGTTAGTATCTACGTCTTAAAAAAGATTTACACTGTATCTGAATGATACCAGTTTTCCTTGTGCATCATTTATTGCATATATTAGTGCCAAATGTATTTTTAAAAGCCTTTTCTTTAGAATTACAGCCAAAGCAATTGCTCCAGTGTAATTTTCTTTCCCCTTGAAAAAATACTCATTGGCATTTGCAGTATACCATTTTAAGACAAAAGAGGCTGGGCGAGTTGGCTCAGGCCTGCAATCCTAGCACTTTGGGAGGCCAAGCTGGGAGGATGGCTTGAGGCCATGAGTTCAAAACCAGCCAGAGCAATACAGCAAGACCCCATCTCTACAAAAGATAGAAAAATCAGCAGGGCGTGGTGGTGCGTGCCTGTAGTCCCACCTTCTCGGGAGGCTGAGGCAGGAGGATTACCTGAGGCTAGGAGTTTGAGGTTGTGGTGAGTTATGATTAGGTTGCTGCCCTCATGCCCAGGCAACAAAGTGTATATGTGAACCAAAACACATATATTAAGTACCAGTAGTATGAGTTTCTAACATCTTAGTGCTTATATTATGCTACACTTGATCTTAGCCAAAAGGCCAAGAAGTAATAATGCTTATGTTATAAACACTATATATATATATTATGGTGTTACTGATACAAATATAGTATTTATAATATAAGCACTAAGGCAGCAGTCCCTAACCTTTTTGGCACTAGAACTGATTTCATGGAATACAATTTTTCCACTGACGAGTCAGGGGAGCTCAGGTGGTGGACGCAAGCCATGGGGAGCAGCTGTAAATACAGATGAAACTTTGAAGCTTTCCTTGCTCTCACTTGCTGCTCACCTCCTGCTGGGAAGCCCATGGTTCCTAAGTTTCATGGAAGAAAATTTTTCTACCTTTGAGGGGGCTGGGAGAGTGGCATTGGAGCTCTGAGGCCAGGTCCCTAACAGGCCACGGACTGGTACCGGTCCATGGCCTGGAGGTTGGGGATCACAGCACGAAGGTGTTGGTAACTCATATTACTGGGTGGAAATACTGTGACACTTCTGTTGTTTTTGTTGGCTATATTTTCTGATTTTTCTGCAGTAGATATACATTGGGTTTGTTAAAAAAGAAAGAAAGAAAGAGAGTTTACTTTGTAAAAGTCAATTGCAAAGTTTGCCCCTGGAAAAAGTGAGAATATAAAGCACGTGCTGACCTCTCTAACTTCCCAACATTACTCTCTACATGTAATCACCTCTGTAATTCTGGAACTGTTTCTACATTATGTGCATACACATCTAATCCTGACAGAGTAACTTTTGCTATTGCTTTAAGGTCTCCTCGAAAATCAGGGGTGAGACATTCCACAAGGATTTTTGGATTCCTAGAGGGGAAAAAAGAGAAGTATCAAACTGAGAGAAAGAATTGACATAACTGTTGCTCAAAACAGAAATTATCAGTACTCATTCAGTATCTGTTTCAGCACAGTGATCTTTAGAGCTTTGCCAAGAAAAGCTTAAACATTCAAAAGTTCATTTATGAACCATTATATGAAAAAAATAAAAAACCCAAAACACCAAATAGTATGTATACAGTGGTTAGAACACATCTGTAGGCAAATAACAATCAGAATAAAATTTTAGATTATATATAGATTTTTAAATCTCATTTGAACAGGTTTTAGAAAAACAGAAGACATTAAAATATGAAATAATACAACTTTCTAAAATAACTCTTTGGAAAGTAAATTGGCACATTTCTTATGTGAATGCAAATATTAATTGAGTGCTTTAACTTTGCTTTCTTTTAAAATTCATCAATAATGCCCTCCTCCTTTCCAGTAAGCAAATAGTTCACAAGTGCTATGGTTTTAAAAACTATTTTCTGGGCTGCTGAGTCATGAGCTTTGTTTAAATGAAGTACAAGCTAAACATTAATCTTCCTATTTATATTACGGCTATATCTATTCAGTCAAGCATTATAATGTGAACTAGGTCAGAGCTGTTCCCTTTGACACCAGCAGAAACGACTGGGACAGCTGGCAAATTTCTTCACAAATCCAATGGCAAAGGTCTGGACCTGTTCCCTGAGAGAACAGATATAGAAAAGACCACATACACACTTCTCAGGAATATAAGAGATGTTCAGAAAACACATCCTATATAACTCACTGTTTCATTTAACTGCAAGTTGAGACCCATTGAGGCTTATGAAATAAATTTTGTGGGTTGCAGATAGATTTTTAAAAAATGAACTATAATAAATTGAAAATACTGAGGAATCATTGAAAAAACAAACTAAGTGTGCTAGGTGTTAGACTAGCACTGACTTATAGAAAATGAGTACAGCTCCTTTTTTATGCTTTTTAAAATGCATGGGATGAAAATATTAATAAAAATGTGGATTATAGGTAAGATTCTCAGGGCATATGAATATGGATAAAGTCTGTATATATTTTAACAATGTTGGAGCTTATCTCATACTATCTACTTCCAGATGAAGACATAGTCAAAATCAGTGCTAAGAAGACCACAGTTTTTTACTTCTTTAAGAAAAGTACTCATTTTCATCAGCAGTGAAAGAAAAAATAAAAAAAAAAAAAAAAGGAAAAATACTCAGAGTTTAGACTAACACTCAAATATGAAGGACAGATTCTATGGTTCTATGGGCTTAAAGGACCATGGATAAGTTCATGCCACTGAACCCCTAACATTTTCTGCAAATATGTATCTGTACATACAAATATGCTTTCTCTGGAGAAATGACCACATAATTTCCAGCAGACTGTTAGAAAAGTATGAGACCCCCCGCAAAAGGTTAATAACCACTGCTTCAAGGGAAAGATCTTACATAAACTGAATTCATATGGGTCCCAAAAAGGTCCTTAAATTACACAAACACATGCAAAAACAAGTACCTTTCCTTTAAGTATGATACAGTCTTTGCAATGTGTTCAGCTCCCCCATCGGGCAAATCTAGAAACAAAAGAATCCACTGTTCAAGATGATGTCACAACTTAGTGTGAGCCAATCTCTGGTAGAGGCCATGATGACACACTAACCATCTCGATCCACAGATGTTAGGACAACATAATCCAGACCCCATTCTGCAATTGCTTTTGCAGTATTGTAGGGCTCACTGGCATCCAGTGGAGGCGGATTTCTTGCAGTCTTAACAGAACAAAATCTGCAACCTCTTGTACATGTATCACCCATCAGCTAAAATAGAGATATTACAATTTAAATCAAACAGATGACACTCAAGAACATAATGTAATGTTGAGAGAATAAAGTAAGTTTCAAAGAATGTGTACAGGTTGGTTCTGTTTATGAGAAATTTGAAATATTCAAAACTAAATAATATAGAGTTAAGGAACACAAATATATGTGGTAAAACTAGAAAGGGAAATGATAAACTTAGCATTAAGAATGATGCTAAGGGAAGAGAATAGAGGATGGGATCAGGAAGAAACACACGACTTAAATTTTAAAATACAATTTATACAGTTTAGGGGGTACATGGGGGGTTCAAAGATAATGCTAATGTTCTACTCTGGAGATGTGTATCAGGGAGTCTGTTGTATTGTTATTCTCTGTAATTTACATATAGTTTATCAAGATTCTTTTGTGTCTATTCAATAATCAATAAATATTACTTTAAAAGAGAAAATATTCAGAAAAAGAAAAAAACTTAAAAAAAGAAAAAAGAGAAAATACTCAATTAACAGATCAACATGCAGGTCTCTGTGGGACTTAAACAGAAAGCACATCTTGTTAAATAGATGGAAAAAAAACATAAAAAGCAATCATGAATAACATCTCCAAAAATTAATAGAAGAGCTATCTTAAGGCAACACATGATTAACTAGCAGATAGATCGAGAATCAATAATAGATTTATTCAGAGAAGAGTGAGATCACACCAGGTTGGATTATCCTGTCAGGTTTTCTTCCTATTTTTCATAAATCCATATGTAATGAAATATCTGACCAGAGATTCATAATGCCCATTTTTAGGAAACACGAAATATTCCCTTTCAGTTTCTAGACTAAAGCTTGGACGCCGAGGCTGGCCTCACCATGACTGTGGCTGTGGCAGTGGCGCGTTCTCCGCCTCCCCAGCATTCCCCAATGTTGGGACATCGAGCCTCCTCGCACACCTGCGAGCGAAGGGAAATGGAAGACCATCAGGCTGAAAACATCCTCCAGCTGAACTGGTGATCGTGACTAGATGTGTTAAACTGCCCACTGTTTACAACATATTTTCGAAGAGACTCGCTATTCAAAATGTTGCTAAACTGCCAAATTGTATATTAGGATCTCACTATTAAAAACTTAGTGAATGCATATATTTTATGTGTGCAAGTCTATTCAAATTCATACTATGAAAGACTGAACAGTTAAAGTGATGTGGTTAAGGTTGGGCGCGGTGGCTCACACCTGTAATTCTAGCACTCTGGGAGGCTGAGGCGGGCGGATTGTTTGAGCTCAGGAGTTCGAAACCAGCCTGAGCAAGAGCGAGACCCCGTCTCTACTAAAAATAGAA